GAGGCCATATCTTATCGAATCTCAGCCATTGGAGGCCATATCTTAAGTCACAGCCACTGAAGGCCTGATTAGTTATTAAGTATCTCAGATATATGTTTAAGTCTCAAATAGGCGCGCGCGGGGTCACCAGTATTGATCAGCCAGATCAGTCCGCTGGCCAGTCGGGGCGAATGTCCAACAGTATCGATAAGTTAACGCAAATCACCCGTGAATAAGCGCGCGTGCTGTTAAACGCAAAGCGTGCGATTAAGGACAAGCTTAGTGCTGTTAATAATAAAAAGCGTGCTGTAAAGGGAAAAAGCGTGTTTACGTGGAACCGCGATCGACGGAGATCGAGGGCATTTTTCTTCGGCAGCCAAGCAGCTCAGACCACAAGGACCACACCAGCAGCAGAGAATCCCGCGGACGGCAACGCCAGACCAAGCCATAGAGTAAGACAAGAAGCAGAGATTAGAAACCCAGATACTAAGTGCGAAGGTTAGGGAGAAAGACTAAGTAAATAAAATAAACAAAGTTGTGAAATTCAAACCCCAAACCTGGCTACTAAAATTAAGTGAACTTCGCTGAGTGTTTTCCGGGTCGGCTAGGTTACCGTATTGCGTTTCCGAGGTTTATTATCTCTACGCAACGCGGATACCAAAGCTACCCACGTGCTACTCCAGGTCGGGCAAATTTTTGTATTGCGTTTCAGAGGTTTATTTTCTCTACGCAATACCAACGCTTACCAGACTAGAGGCGGGAAACTATCGCCGGCCTTTTCTGCTCACGCTCAGGTTAGGGAGAGGCTAATAAGATTTAGTGCATTTCGCGGAGGGGCTTTCGGGTCAGTGAGGCTTCTGAGTTGCGTTTTCCGAGGTTTATTTTCTCTGCGCAACGCGGACGCCAAAGCTGCCCACGTCCATATTCACGTCGGACAAGTTGCCGTATTGCGTTTCCGAGGATTACTCTGCGCAAAACGAACGCTTGCCGGACGGGAAAATTTCCGTTGATTTCCCCGCGTTTCCCCCACCCGATCGCCCACGCTTAGGCCCAGTCGGAAAATCCCTGCGAGTTAAATTAGTGGCGGCCCCGTTTTCGTGTTGCGTTTCGGAGGTTCGTTTTTCTCTCTACGCAACACGGACGACGAAGCTGTCTGCGTGCTTGTTCGTGTCGGACAAGTTCCCGTATTGCACTTCCAAGGCTTTCTCTGTGCAATACGGACACTTGCCGGATCGTAAAAGCTATCGCCGATCGCCCACGCTCAGGCCCAGTCAAAATCCCTCCCGAGTTAATTTGTGGCGGCCCCGTTTTCGTGTTCCGTTTCCGAGGTTCGTTTTTCGCTACGCAACAAGGACGACGAGGCTGTACGCGTGCTCATTCGCGTCGGACAAGTTCCCGTATTGCGCTTCCGAGGCTTACTCTGTCCAACACGGACGCTTGCCGGAAACTATCGCCGATCGCCCACGCTCAGGCCCAGTCGAAAATCCCTCTCGAGTTAATTTGTGGCGGCCCCGTTTTCGTGTTGCGTTTCCGAAGTTCGTTTTCTCTACGCAACACGGACGACGAGGCTGTACGCGTGCTCATTCGCGTCGGACAAGTTCCCGTATTGCGCTTCCGAGGCTTTCTCTGTGCAATACGAAGGCTTGTCAGGCCGGAAAAGCTACCCGGGTGCTAATTGGTGTCGGCCAGTTGACATTTACGCCTCCGAGCGATCTACGCTACGTAGAGGTGCAGACCCAGACCCGTAAACAAAATCCCCGCGGCAACTCCCAGTCCCGTTTCGTCTCCTGTGTTTCTACAAATTTAACTGTAGAGGACTCTGGCCGGACTGAAGTCTATCCCAGCCTAAGAAAAAGTCCTTACAGTTTGGCGCCCGAGCAGGGACGACTCAGGGACGACCTAGGTATCCTGTACGAGTTGGGTTTTCAGTATCAACCGCATGGCTTAAAGACCCATGTCCAGCCGTGGGAATTTTTGGTCAGGAGCACTCAAGTTTTAAAAGCTTAGTTAAAGAGTAAATAGGGGAAACTGTACTGCCACTTACGACAACGCCGATCTACTCCGCAACTGCGCCGCTTACTATGAGCACCCCGAGCGCTGACCCAGCCCGCTCACATCAGGAGCACTCCGGAGTCCAGCCGCGCCGCCGCCTGAGCGCCGCCTGCTGAGGGCCCTCCGGAATCTACGCTCATCAGGAGCATCCCAGTGGGCCACCTGGGCCGCTTACCGAGAGCGCTCCCAGAGGCCGCTCAGATGAGGAGCGATTCCAAAGCTCAGCAGCGCCACACCCCGAGCGCTTGCCCAGCAGCGCTCGCCCTCCGAGCAGCCCAGCGATCAGCCCAGCGATCAGTAGCGCTCGCCCTCGGGTGCACCCCGGAGGCCTGCTTCGCCGCCCGGCTAGCACCCCCCCAGCAGCGCCATCTACAGTGCCAGTACAGCACTCACCGCGAAGAGGAAAACAATCGCCACGCTCACCGTGGACCCCGGATCACTCGCCGCCAGGAGAGTCGAACTTTAAGCCATCCTCAAGGAATTCGGGTTGAACACCCACGGCCAGGTGGACGAACTGCGACCCCGGCTTGCATCGTTCACCGGAGGGTCCAACCACAGTCCGGCGCTCCGGGAACGCTTTGCCGCATTGGAGGCCATCTACCCAGAGGCTCCCACATCAAAGGTAGTGAACAACCGGTCCACCTCACCGATGCCCGGCGCCGGGGACACCCTTCTCTCCGTGCCACCCCCAGAACACCGTCACACGAGCCCAGGACGTGGAGCCCAAGGCTCCCACCCCGCTGCCCAATCGCCATCCCAGCACATGTCCGCAGCCGCATTCGCCGAGAAGCTTCGGGGATGGGGCGTCCTTTTCGATGGGCAAGTCGACCCCCTGCACTTCATGGAACGAGTCGAGGAAGGCGCTACGTCATACAGCTTACGGAGCAGCGACATCCCACGGGCCATCGCCGGATTACTGTCGGGCCGCGCTGAAGGGTGGTACCGAGCCTACCAGATGCACGCCGTGCCCTGCGAGCCTTTCAAGTTCTATGTGGTAGAACTACGCCTGATGATGCAGCGGGCAAATTACTCGTTCGAACAGGAGCTCGAAAGAATTTACGAGAACCTGCTACCGGAGTATCAACTCTTCATAAGGCGTCAGGAATTCTCCTCGCTGGGTTGACGCAACTAGCCACCGCGTTCGAAATTGCTCGGGTCCGAGACCCAGTACGACAAGCAGCACTAGTTCCACCTGCCAGTGGAAGCTACACTACGAGGAGCAGCCCTCCACCCGGCCCTCGCCGACGAGAGCCCATACGACCAGCGGCGGCGCCTTTCGGCACATCGAATCCAGCGATTTCAAACCGGATGATTGCCCAGGAGGCCGAAACACCTGTCTACGTGGCCCGAGCCTGTAGCCGCTGCGCTGAGGTGGGACACTTCGTTCGGGAATGCCAGAACCCCCCAGTCCTATACTGCTGGGACTGCGGGGACTGCCGCCAGTCGGGAAACAGCCGGGGTCCTCGCACACACAGGGAGCAGGCGGCGACCCACTCAGCGCTCCCCCACCATTAGATCCACCGCTCCGCTTGACGGGAGGCCGGATCGTCGCCACGGTTACCATCGAGGGGCAACTCTTCGCGGCAACCATCGACACGGGGGCCTCCAGAAGCTTTGTCAGCGAAGCGCTCGCCAACCGGCTTGATTCGGGTCGAAACATCAAAGAAGTTCGCACCCAAATATCCCTGGCGGACGGATCCCCGAAGGAAGTCACCAAGGCCCTGCACGCACAAGTGCGCCTGGACCAACAACATGTCCACATGACCCTCCTGGTCCTGCCAACGATCTTGGACGAGGTGATCCTCGGGATTGACTTTCTCTGTGGCATCCGGGCAACCCTGATCTGCGGTCAGGTGTGCCTCCAGCTAGCTCCGCCTACCACACGAAGAGCCGAACCAGGCCCAGCCACCCGAGCGGCGCCCACAGCGTCGGTTGCTCACCTTTCGAACCCACTGACTCCTACCAGGCAGACAACAAGGACCAACGAGGTCACAACGGGTCCCATACCCGCCCCAAGGCAGCACATTACGTGGATTGCGGGACGGAGCCCAGCCCCAGTTCCATCGGAACCCTCGCCACCACCGGTTCCTCCCGACACTACCACGGGAATCACGAAGGCCGAGGTCACCGTCAAGGAAGGCAAGTGCAGCCTCCAGCCACTACCGGATGCCGCCGTGGCCAAGAAAAGGAACCCTTTTCGGGGGAATCTCGCGGGTCAGGACCGCTTAGCCAGCACAACGGCAGGAACGTTTCCCGACGACCCGGATAGGCCACGATTTTCTCCGAAACAGCGGTATTATCCCAAGAACCTGGCCATGCAGCGTATCATCAACGAGCAGGTGGATGAACTGCTGCAGGACGGACGAATCGAACCCTCTCGAAGCCCGCACAGCGCACCGCTGGTGCTGGTCCGAAAGAAGACAGGGGACATGCGGATGTGCGTTGACTATCGTCAACTTAACGCACACTCCATAACCGACGCGTACCCGCTTCCACGCATCAACCATATCCTGGAACGTCTACGGAATGCCCGGTTCATCTCCACATTGGACCTTAAAAACGGGTATTGGCAGATTCCCAAGGCAGAAGGCAGTCGAGAATGCACCGCATTTTCTGTCCCTGGACGCGGACTCTTCCACTGGAAGGTCATGCCGTTTGGGCTCCACTCCACTCCAATCATCGTCATCGGGGCAATGTGGGAGGACCATGCGCGTAATCTGAGGGGAGTCTTCCGGCGCCTTCGAGAAGCGAATCTACGCCTAAATCGGGGTAAGTGCAAGTTCTTCCAAAGAAGACTAGTGTATTTGGGGCACCTGATCAGCGAGTAAGGCATCAGGACAGACCCCGACAAAATAGCAGCAATCCAGGGGCTACATCCCCGGACTAATGTCAAGGAACTTCGCCGCCAACTCGGAATCGCATCCTGGTACAGACGTTTTGTCCCAGACTTTGCCTCCCTCGTACAACCGATGTCGCGACTCCTGAGGAAGGGAGTAAAGTGGACCTTGGGAGAACCCCAACAGCAGGCGTTTGATTCGCTTAAGGCGCGACTAAGGTCCGCCCCTGTATTGGCCTGCCCATACTTCGAGTATAAGTTCCAACTTCAGAGGGACGCCAGCGACAAAGGACTCGGCGCGGTCTTCACTCAGAATATTGAGGGCGACGAACGAGTAATTGCCTACGTGAACCGTCGACTCGAGCGGGCGGATGAAAATTACTCGGCCACTGAAAAGGAGTGCCTCGCCATTGTGTGGGCCACCCGAAAGTTACGTTGCTACCTTGAGGGTTACAAGTTCGACGTCATCACGGATCACCTGGCCCTGAAATGGTTGAACTCCATTAACAATCCCACGGGACGTATAGCACGGTGGGCACTGGAACTCCAGCAGTACCAGTTCGACGTACTCTACCGGAAGGGCAAATACAACGTGATCGCCGACGCCCTCTCCCGGCAACCGCTCGGAAGACTCCAGTTACTCGCAGAACTTAAGTGCCATTGGAAATGGGTACGAAAGATGCAGGAACAGGTCCAAAAACGCCCCGAGAAATATCCAATATTCGTTGGACCCCTTCCCCGGACCCGGCGAGGAAACACCATGCTCTTGGTTTTCATCGATGTATTCTCCAAGTGGGTAGAGCTCATCCCATTGAAGAAAGCCACCTCCGCACAACTGGAGTTCGGATTCCGAGAAAGGATCCTCTCTCGCTTTGGAGCCCCCAGAAGGTTGATTTGCGATAATGGCACGCAATTCACCAGCCGAAGCTTCAGGGTGTTCTGCCGGAACAACGGCATTCAACTGGAATACACCACGCCGTACTCTCCCCAGCAAAATCCGACGGAACGCGCCAACCGCACTATCAAGACAATGATAGCACAGTATGTGAATCAGGATCACCGGACATGGGACCAGCTACTGCCCGAGATCTCCCTCGCCATCAACACTAGTACAAGGTCGGGAGCCTAGGTTGCCAGGTGCCCTCTTCGATGCGGTCGCACCCGACATGCATGCCTCGCCGTTGGACCCGGCGGAGCGAGCCAAAAGGCTTCAAGAAGCGTTCCGCACCGCCCTGGAAACCAACCAGATAGCTTCTCAGGAACAAAGTCGACACTACAACCTGAGGCGACGTGAGTGGCGGCCCCAACTAGGCTCACAGGTGCTAGTCCGCCTTCACCATCTGTCCAAAGCCAGCGAGGGCTTTAACGCGAAACTTGCGCCGAAGTACGCGGGCCCGTTTAAGGTGGTAAAATTTCTATCATCAAACGTCGTGCGGCTAGAGCAGATAGACGGCCGGAAAAGGCGTACAGCTGGCATAGGCGATCTAAAAGAGTATCATCAGCGTGAAGAACAACCAGACGACTCTACAGAAGGCCCCAGAAGGAGCGATTCGCAACACGCACCTGATGACGTGCCCGGTTCACCTCTGTAAGGGTAAACATAAGTGGCGTACTCGCCAGCAAGCTACTTTTAAGCGGTTAGTAGTTTGATCTTCGCACTCAGGCTAGGCCAGTTAGGAAAACGTAGTACTAGGCTAACTATTTGGACACCTTTCAGAGACAACAACATGCAACAGATGGACCCCTATCGTGTGGAGGGAGCGTACAGACCCGTCGACCTCCGAGAAGGCTCTACGGCCAGCAATAGCGCAGACTCGGTTTTGTCCACCCGCAGCCCGACTCCACCCCGTTCAGCCCATGGCAAGGCATGAGATCGCCCGAAGGACCCGCTGGTCGCACTCCACCGGACAATACCGACTCGGTGTCGACCGAGGTTAGGTCTCCAGACGACAGCATGGTGGTCAGCGGTGACGTGCCGGAGGTATTTGAGCCCCTACCCGGAGGCGACGCGGAGGAGGAGCTAACCACCCCCACGGTTGCACGTCTGGCCCGGCTACAGGTAGACGACGGAGACGAGCCCGGGGCATCGACCACCCACGTCCTGGTGGGCGCATGGCTGCAAGGTCAGGACCATCATGCCTTCGCTCCTGGACACCTGCAACAATGCCTCTGGGAGGCCCACCGGAGTTCCCCAGCGAGTCGACGGTCGATTTTGGAGGGACCGCCCGCAAGCGCAGGTCGAACGCGTCATAGCCGAAGCGAACCGAGCCTGGGACGGCTACGCTGGCGACATCGCACCAGCTCGGGAGGAATCCGAGCCTGAAAGTGGCCTCTGCTCTAGCCAGGAGGACAGCGACGACGAGGGAGAGGACGTGCTGGACATCCACACAAGGGAGGTCGGCCCCGACTTGGCCGTACCCGAGGAGCACGTCCCAGCTATTGCCGAGAACCCGGAGCACCAAACTCCACCCGGAAATCCAGCACACTCCACCCTCCCGTCCACACAGAGACGCTGCCAAACGGAGTCCCCACGGACCCCCACCAATGCCGTACGTCCACGCCTGGAGCTGTCGCCACCCGCGCTGTCACCCGGCCTCGGACCCTCTCAGCGAGAAGCACGCTCCACCCTCCCGTCCACACCGAGACGCTGCCAAATGGATTCCCCGCGGACCCCCATCAACGCCGTACGTCCGCGCCTGGAGCTGTCGCCACCCGCGCTGTCACCCGGCCTCGGACCCTCTCAGCGGGAAGCACCACCCACACCCGGCCGATCCATTCCCCCTGCGGTCATGGATTTGTTTATAGGACCCTCGGCGCAGGCGCCGTCCCAAAGCGGAGACGAGGAGCTGGACCTGCAACTGTTCCAGGCTCTCCAGGAGGACCCAGCGGAGGACCCAGCCAGGGATGACGCCCACTGGTTCGAGGCCCCAGCGGACTGGAGAGTAGACTCTCCGGATCGCCGTCTGCCCCCCATCCTCGTCACGTCCATTCAGGCCCAGGATCGCCGATGCGTACGGTACCTACGCCACTTCGACGGGGCCAAATTCCGAATCAGCGTGACCGCAAGAGGCGAAGTCTCCGTGACCCTCCGCCCGTCTCAATAACTACCCCGAAGTAAAGGGGGGTGTGAGGACGCCTAAAGGCGCCTCTCATATCTCATCGAATCTCAGCCATTGGAGGCCATATCTCATCGAATCTCAGCCATTGGAGGCCATATCTTAAGTCACAGCCACTGAATGCCTGATTAGTTATTAAGTATCTCAAATATATATTTAAGTCTCAAACCTAAGTAATCCTAGTTTTCAGCAAGATCAGTCCGCTGGCCAGTCGGGGCGAATGTCCAATAGTATCGATAAGTTATCGCAAATCACCCGTGAATAAGCGCGCGTGCTGTTAAGCGCAAAGCGTGCGATTAAGGACAAGCTTAGTGCTGTTAATAATAAAAAGCGTGCTGTAAAGGGAAAAAGCGTGTCGACGTAGAACCGCGATCGACGGAGATCGGGGGCATTCTTTTTCGGCAGCCAAGCAGCTCAGACCACACCAGCAGCAGAGAATCCCGCGGACGGCAACGCCAGACCAAGCCATAGAGTAAGACAAGAAGCAGAGATTAGAAACCCAGATACTGAGTGCGAAGGTTAGGGAGAAAGACTAAGTAAATAAAATAAACAAAGTTGTGAAATTCAAACCCCAAACCTGGCTACTAAAATTAAGTGAACTTCGCTGAGTGTTTTCCGGGTCGGCTAGGTTACCGTATTGCGTTTCCGAGGTTTATTATCTCTACGCAGCGCGGATACCAAAGCTACCCACGTGCTACTCCGTATTGCGTTTCAGAGGTTTATTTTCTCTACGCAATACGAACGCTTACCAGACTAGAGAAAAACGCGGGAAACTATCGCCGGCCTTTTCTGCTCACGCTCAGGTTAGGGAGAGGCTAATAAGATTTAGTGCATTTCGCGGAGGGGCTTTCGGGTCAGTGAGGCTTCTGAGTTCCGTTTTCCGAGGTTTATTTTCTCTGCGCAACGCGGACGCCAAAGCTGCCCACGTCCATATTCACGTCGGACAAGTTGCCGTATTGCGTTTCCGAGGCTTACTCTGCGCAAAACGAACGCTTGCCGGACGGGAAAATTTCCGTTGATTTCCCCGCGTTTCCCCCACCCGATCGCCCACGCTTAGGCCCAGTCGGAAAATCCCCGCGAGTTAAATTAGTGGCGGCCCCGTTTTCGTGTTGCGTTTCGGAGGTTCGTTTTTCTCTCTACGCAACACGGACGACGAAGCTGTCCGCGTGCTCGTTCGTGTCGGACAAGTTCCCGTATTGCGCTTCCGAGGCTTACTCTGTGCAACACGGACGCTTGCCATACCGGAAAAACTACCCGGGTACTAATTAGTGTCGGCCAGTTGACATTTACGCCTCCGAGCGATCTACGCTACATAGAGGTGCAGACCCAGACCCGGGCGGTCACGTTTATATGAATTTGGTGGGACGAACAACACACATCTTCTGAGCTAGCCGCACGATACTCGTAGCGAGCAGACATACAAAATCAGTTCGTTACAATGTATATATATTCCTTTCGCTCCTTGAAATAAGTCCTTTTGTGCATAGACTTTCCGCCAATTCATTGTTTTTTGTTTGAAGTTTCGATGTTATATCCTTTCGTAAAATCCGATATGTGTTCCTTTCCTCCAAAATGTTATTCATTTTTTGATTGTAAGTATTCTTGTCCATAGCAACTGTCTTGCTTCCTTTGTCAGAAGTTAAAATTAGTATTTTGTCATTTTCCTTTCCTTTCATTTTCGTGTCTGCCCCACTGTGTCTAGTATTGCGCGATCTATTGCACTTTCCCGAACCGACGTCATATGATCTGTTTGATGGAGCAGGAGTATTTTCCTGACCCCCATGAGACTGTAGGGAGTCGGGGGGATAGTTAAGTTAATGAAGCAAATCCAACCGTCTTGTCGCAGTACCAAAATTGAACTCTTTATTCTTACGTTGGATAATAGCCTTCGTGGCCAGTGTGGTGAATTACATGAGAGCGTGAACTTAAGCTTTACCACTGAGAGCGCAGCTCAGGTTAACAAATTAGATCCATACACTTAAAGACAGATTAATACTTTAAAATTACATTCATGTTTTTCTCAAGATGCAATAGTGGCCCAACATTCCGGCCCCATTGAAAGTACCTAGTTACTTTAAATTAATTGGTAAACGGGCCAATTTGTGAATCGGTCGCCTTATAATTCCTTTCGACGTCCGGACATCCGCGACTCGGACGTGGTTGTCCTGACCTGGTATAGTTGCTTCGATGCGACCTAACAGCCATCGATGAGGAGGGACATGGTCTTCGTGGATTAGGACCATTTCGTTGACTGCAATATTCGCAGATCCAGTCGTCCAGATTCTTGGCGCTTTTAACGGCAGCCTCCCAGAGGCCGCCAAAGTGTGGAGCCCTAGGAGGTATGATATTGAACGTTACAAATTCGAAATACGAAATAATGTCTTGCTGGTTTTTGGTGCTGAAGAAAAAGTCCTTCAGGTCTTGCAACTTGTTGCTCGCGCCTACAAAATTCGTCGCATTGTCGCAAAAGATGTCTGCAGGTACAGTACGAAATAATGTCTTGCTGGTTTTTGGTGCTGAAGAAAAAGTCCTTCAGGTCTTGCAACTTGTTGTTGTCGCAAAAGAATGTCTGCAGGTAGACCACGTCTGGCGATCATCCGCTTCAGAGCACCCAAGAACGAATCAGTTGATAGGTCTCCGACGATTTCGATATGCGCCGCCTTTGTGGCGAAGCACACAAATATTGCGATGTAGCTTTTAACGGGCACTTTTCCTTGAACGCGTAGGTAGGTATGAACCGGCCCGCAGAAGTCTATCCCACACCGAGCAAATGGACTTGACAGGGTAATTCTCTCGACTGGGAGGCTGCCCATAAGTGGTTGCAGCAGCTTAGGCCTGTAGCGCACACAGTTGCGTACAACACGACGAGCGACATCTCGGGCATTCACGACCCAAAACTCCAGCCGCATTATTCCCACCAGGACCCTTGGACCAGCGTGGTAGTTCCGCAGGTGTAGACGACGTACGTAGTTGACGACAGCAACATCCTTAGCGGGAAGCAATATGGGATGCT